AGCTCCACCGAGAGTACATCATACACCACATAGCTGTAGTCAAAGTGGAGGAAGATGAGAGAGGAAACCAGGAGTCTACGCGTATGTTGAAGTAGGACATGGCGGAAGCGATGGAATAGTTTGAGAGTAGAAATTGTTCGTCGGGAGATGTGAGAAATATGGTGATTCCAAGAGAGGGTTTGATCAATGAAAAATCCTAAATTTTTGACAGAGGAATAGAAGGAGATTGGCTGGTCATCAAGGTTTAGTATGGGAAAGTCGGAATAGGATCTAAGAAGGGGCTTGGAACCAATGACAATGACCTGAGTTTTAGCTGCATTTAACCTTAATCCGTTAAGTTTGCCCAGGCACTGATTCGATCTAGGTCTTCATGGATCTTAGTAAATGCTACCAAAAGCTCAGAGGGAGAAAAGGATAGATATATTTGAGAATCGTCTGCATAAAGGAGGTGGGAGTCCTCTAGATGGATTGGGAGGACAGAGTCCTAAAATCAGAAATAGGGCACAAGGAACTGTGGATTAAACCCTGTGGTGGTTGTCCATAGGGAGGTGTGCTCTCTACGCTACTGTGGTGCTTTGTGGCTGACTCATTGTTGGAAGCCCTAAACACTGCAGGCATTTACGCGCAAGGATATGCTGACGATATTGCTATCCTAATGGGAGGAAAGCATCAGAGTGTCCTCTCTGATCTCCTCATTACAGTGTCTAATATTCTTAGGAATTGGTGCAGGATTAATGGACTAAGCATCAACCCTAGGAAAATCAATGTGTGCATCTTCACTAAGAAGAAAAAGGTATTTATTAAAATGCCGGAAATCAATGGTATCCAACTGACATTGAGCAAGGAAGTTAAACACCTTGGAGTCATTTTGGACCAAAAATTGTCATAGACTAAACAAGTTCAGAACATGACAAGTAAAGCCCTCAAATGCCTATGGGCCTGTAAAATAGCGATAGGATTGGCGTTGAGGACTGAAGAGTTGGGGACTCAAACCAAAAGTGGTATACTGGCTGTACACAACGACAGTCAGACCTATCATACTTTACTCAGCTTTGCTATGGTGGCACAAAGCAAAGACTGTAGCTAACTCATCCTCATTAGGAAAGATTCAAAGACTTGCATGTATAATGATAATGGGTGCAATGAGCACGACACCAACTGCCGCCATGGAAGTAATGTTGAACATGCCACCGCTGCAGCTGGAGGCTCGGGCAACAAACACATTATACAGGCTAAGCAAGTCAACACACTGCTCACCAGTCCCCTCTCAAGGAGGACACACAGTATGTGACGGAGTGCTAGCCATGCACTCTAACACTCTAATCTGAGAATATCAGGACCGAAAATATGAGGTTGGGATAGACAGCAGAAGACAACACAAACTAAATAATGGTATTAATTGCTATACAGATGGCTCTCTAACAGCCTTCGGCTTTGGAGCAGGCATCTATGGCAAAGACAATAAAGAAAAAGTTTCTACACCACTTGGCAAATATGCCTCAGTATTTCAATCTGAGATACTGGCAATCTGCCATTGCGCACAAAACCTACTGCAAAGCAATGTGACTGGGAAAAAGATTACCATCTATACCGACAGTCAGGCAGCAATAGGTGCTATTAACGATTACTATGTATATTCAAAGGTCATTAAGGAATGCAACACAGCACTTAACAAACTAACTGAGCACAATAGAGTTGCAGTGGAGTGGGTGCCTGGTCACTTGGGCATACCAGGCAACGAGGAGGCTGATGAACTAGCCAAATTGGGCTCAGATACCATTCCTTTAACTCCCGAGCATGTCTGTGGAATCAGCATCAGCACTGCCAAGGGTAGGATAAGGGAGATCTATGGGAACAAATTTAGTAATTACTGGACCGACAAGAAACAACGTCATTCGAAGCTGTTCCTTAAAGGTCCATGTGAAAACAGAAGCAAACTGCTACTGAATATGGAGCAGCCCTTAAAAAGCTTACAGCAATCTATACAGGTCACTATAAGATAAATTACCACATGTTCAATCTCCGAGTCATGACGAATCCGCTATGCAGATTCTGTCAGGAGGAGAATGAAACGGCCTTTCACATCGTGTGTAGATGTGAGAGATCCACAAGGCTGAGACTGATAGTATTTGGGGAGGAACAAATGGATCTCCCCAGTAGCAATGAGTCGGTCAATTAAACCAGCCTACTTAGATACGCGGAAGCGACTAGAATAACATTTTAATTAAAAACGACTAACAGAAATTGGCGCACAATGGACCCATTAGGGGTCGACGTGCTCAGGGTCAACACTAATAATAAAAATAAAAAAAAATGTGGTGGGAACAATGGAGAATTGATTTATGTAGGTCGTTAATGTAGGAACTAAAAAGGAGAGGAGATATGCTAGATCCTTGGGCAACTACAGAGGATAAAGCAAGGTAGGCAGATAGTGGTTGATCAGGTATGGAGAATGCTTGGGTGCGTTGAGAGAGAAAAGATTAGAACCAAGAGATGGAGCTATTCGAGAAGGATAATGATTTTAGTTTGTTAAAAAGGATGGGATGGTTCATGGAATTAAAGGCTTTGGAGAAGTCAAGGAGTATAAAGACAGTCAATTGTTCATTATCTATTGCAGTCTGAACATCATTGGTAATTTTAATTAAGGCGGATTGTGTGGAGTAGGCGGGACAGAAACAAGATTGGAGAGGATCAAGTTGGTTGCACTTTTCAAGGAAATTGGAAACTTGGGATTGCACCAATCTTTCTAGGGGTTTTGAGAGATTGGAAAGAATTGAGATTGGGCAAAATTCTTCGGGAGAAGATGGATTAGGCTTTTTATTTAAAGGGAGGACAATGGCTTTTTTCCAAGAGGTAGGGAATATTGAGTTCTGTAGGGAGAAATTGTAAATGAAAAGGAGAACTGGGAGGATTTCGGGAAGACATGATTTTATCAATTTGACAGGAATGCCATCTGGTCCTATGGAGTTGGAGTGGGATTTCATTACAGCGGTTAGTAGGTCAGTGGGGGAAATGTCGGAGAAATAAAAGTCATCATCCTTGAATGATAACTCAGGAGCAAAGTTGGAAGAGGAGGGTAGAGAAGAAGTAGAGGAGGTAGAAATAAAATGTGAATTTAAGTCATCAGATGAAACGGGAAAGACTATTGAGGAAGGTCTATCTATGTGGTGGAAGATTCAAAATTTTTATAATGTAATCAAAATGGAGTTAAATTGTGAAGATAAATAACAGATCTATTTTAGTCTCTTAATTATATATTAATATTAATATTATATATTAATATTAATATTAAATATTAATATTAAAATTATTATTAATTAATTATTCGTTATAGTCTATTTATTAATACTCAAGTGAATAAAATGCGTTGGAGTATACTTTGGTAATTTAAATAATTTTTTAAGAAAGAACCTTAGTAGTCTTTCCACGACTTCATAACGTTACCCCACCCCCAGATTTGTGCTCCATAGCACATCACTGCCCTACTAACGGAATAAAATACTTACAACTTTTTGAATAGAGCTATGTCTTTGTTTTCAAATTCAAACCCATCTTGGCTTTCTCCAGTTTTTCTGCCAGGTGTTTGGACATTGAGAGAGTAGGTGTGAGAACTATTCCTAAGTATTTGTACTGTTGAACTACGTCTATACTTCTGGAGCCAATGAATCATTTTTCTTTACGTGATGGCTTACAGTCATTACGAAAGAAAGACCATTATTTTAGATTTTTCGAGATTTATTCTCAGATTCCATTTTTTACAGTATTCTTCTAGGAAATTTATATTACTCTGTAATGTCACTGGATGTGAAGATAGGAGAACAATATCATCCGCATAAACCAGATACTTAATTTTACAATTTTCCTCAACACAAATACCACCATCTAAATTCTCTTCCAAATCATTTATATATAACGAAAATAGAATCGGACTAAGCAAACATCCTTGTCTTACACCCAATTCCATACTAAATTGGTTTCATCAAACCATCCAAATCCTAAACTGAAGCATTAGTATCACTAAGCAAACTTCTAATTGAATTAATTAATTTAGATGAAAATCCTAGCTGATATAATTTATAAATTAGACTATAACGATCCACACTATCAAATGCTGTAGAAAAATCTACAAAAAATAATTAGAGTAGTTAATTTGAATATGTTATCGATTGTTGAATAGAATCTAAAACCAGCCTAAGCTTCGTTAATTATATTATTTTCATCAACCCAGTACAGACATCTAGTCAAAATCAAGCCCGTATATAACTTGGCAATTGCATAATTGAAGGAGATTCCCCTGTAATTAGAAGCCAAATTGTGATAAATGATAAATTAACTCATTTTGTTTCAACCAATTAATTTTGGGGAGAAGTGGTAAAGTAGACTGTTCTATTATCTTTTTTTTAATTTTGAAAGAGGTAATAATTGGCATGTAGTCCAAAAAAATCTGATAATCAACAGTCAAATTTCTTACTACTGATAGCAACTTCATATTTACAATAGCATAGTATATAACAGAATTTCCTGAGGCTCCCAAATATGTATATTCTCCTTTTATATCACTTTTCATACAGACATTTAATATAGCCAAATTAAAATAGTTACAGAGCTCTAATACTTTTTTACTATTTAGGGGTTGTCACATCGGCTACTATATCTGATGTATTTTTGACAGGTTAGAGCACATACGCCGCCACTATTACTTATCTACCTGCTGCTTGTAACAGTTGTTTGGAATAAGGTATCTAGATGAAAGTATTTTAACCTTATTTTTCCGTAGCCACTTCACAATTTATCACTAAATTGAAATATAGTGATCCTTAATAGGTATGGTAACCACTAGTCACAACATTTTTCAAATTGATTTAAATATTTAAGATATTTCCACGAATAACACACAAACAACCAACTAGTAAATTCTTCAAAAGCCACTTTAAAGTTATTGCAGTACCTATTGAATATTTTATTCAGGGCATTTGTAAAATGAAAATAGTTGTACCAACCTCAAAGCTTCTTTAAGCACAGTAAAAGATGGCCTACTGTCTGGCTGAGCTGCCCAGCAACGGCACATAATGCTGTACAACTGAGGAGGGCAGCTTGATGGCAATGGTAACCTCTCACCATTTTCCAGTCGGTTTAAAACCTCAGCATTACGGACATTCTGGAATGGTTTGTCTCCTCTTGTCAGGATTTCCCACATACAGACTCCTAAATTAGTAGTACAGCTATTAACCATGAAAAAATTAAATGATCACATAATAATAGAAAATAGAAAAATAACTTTATTCTGGGACGAAGTCCACTAAGAATAACAAAAGGTTAAAGAACAAAAGAAATACTTCTGGCCAGAAGAACTAAATTAAATAAAAAGAGTTACATTGAATATTTAATAGTTTACCGTTGCATTATAAAGGAAGTAGATAGTCCGGGGTGGCGGTCATTAACAGGCTAAATAGTGGCAAAACTATTTAGCCTGTTAATGACTGCCACCCCAGACCATCTACTTCCTTTAAAAAGAGTTAAATTAAATAAATAAAAAAACTTTATGAATCTAAAAACATATACAAAACTGAACTGAAGAAACTATATACAAAATACTTATAAGTAAACATAATATAAATAAGAAATGAAACAAAATAATCACTGCTTAATGGTTGAATTTGAAATGGAAAAGGTATAATTTGAAATGGAAAAAGTAGGAAGAAAAGCAATAAATTCCTGTTATAAAGCATTTCCAAGTCAATTTCGGACTTTTCCAAGTCAAATTCAACCTTTTCCAAATCAAATTAAACTTTTTCCAAGTCAAATTCAACCTTTTCCATTTCAAATTATACCTTTTCCATTTCAAATTCAACCATTAAGCAGTGATTATTTTGTTTCATTTCTTATTTATACTATGTTTACTTATAAGTATTTTGTATATAGTTTCTTCAGTTCAGTTCTTTATATGTTTTTAGTTTCATAAAGTTTTTTTATTTATTTAATTTAACTCTTTTTAAAGGAAGTAGATGGTCTGGGGTGGCAGTCATTAACAGGCTAAATAGTTTTGCCACTATTTAGCCTGTTAATGTCCGCCACCCCGGACCATCTACTTCCTTTAAAAAGAGTTACATTAAATAAATAAAAAAACTTTATGAAACTAAAAACATATACAGAACTGAACTGAAGAAACTATATACAAAATACTTATAAGTAAACATAATACAAATAAGAAATGAAACAAAATGATCACTGCTTAGCTAAAAAATAAATGTAAAGGATTAAAAAAGTAGGAAGAAAAGCAATAAATTCCTGTTATAAAGCATTTCCAAGTCAATTTCAGACTTTTCCAAGTCAAATTCAACCTTTTCCAAATCAAATTAAACTTTTTCCAAGTCAAAGTCAACCTTTTCCATTTCAAATTATACCTTTTTATTTTTAATTTTTCGATGTATGGGTCAGTAGTATGATTAGTTTTTGAAAAAAACCTCCATTTTAAGATTACGCCAATGCGTTTCGATTTATTTAAGTTTTTCGGATTTATTCAATATAAGGGTGTATTCTTAATGTTTCCATAGCCCTAGATTTTGAAAATGACCTCCATTTTAAGATTACGTCACTGCGTTTAGATTTTTTTAAGTTTTCAGGTTTTTTCCATATAAGGGTGTATGTATCCTTATGTTTCCGGAATAGTAGATTTTGAAAATGACCTCCATTATAAGATTAGGCCACTGTGTTTCGGATTGTTTAAGTTTTTTTGATTTTTCCTTTGAATTTAAAAAATACGAAGGATTAATTTATTTTCCAGCCGAAATATATATTGTCTCATTTTTAAATTTAATTTTAGTTTTCATTTTGCGGTATCTTCTTACAAGATTATAAACATACGAATTTCGAACAATTAGCTGAAAATGGTAGGTTAAATCTATTAAGAATTGCTTTTTCGGCTATGTGTTGTGTGGTTAATTTAACCTTAGCTTCGTAATATTTATTGATTCATACTCATAAACATATTGATGAAACTTGGTATTGAAAAAATCCAAAATAAAGCTTAATTAATCGAAATGCAGCGGCGTAATATTGAAATGGAGATTAAATATTAGAGATTAGATAAATTTCAAATACCACGTATCCGACAACTTATAAGTAAATCCTTATGCCGAATAATTCCAAAAAACTTAAATAAACCAAAACACAGTGGCATAATCTTAAAATGGAGGTGATTTTAAAAACTACTTCTCCGATAATATATAAGTAGACTCTTACATCGAAAAAATTAAGTAAGTTGAAGCGCAAAATCTTAAAATGGAGGTCATTTTCAATATCTATGACTCTGGAAACATAAGAATACACCCTGATATCGAATAAATCCGAAAAACTTAAATAAGTCGAAATGCAGTGGTGTAATCTTAAAATGGAGGTCATTTTCAAAATCTATGGCTCCGGAAACATAAGAATACACCCTGATATCAAATAAATTCGAAAAACTTCGCCGAAATAAGTCGAAACACAGTGGATTAATCTTTAAATGGAGATTATTTTAAAAAACTAGGCACACGATAACATAATACTAGACCCTTTTATCGAACTTGTCAATGTGGATGTCTTTTTTACAAATTAAACATTTTTTATTATTAGTACAGTCTCTTGCAAAATGACTTCATTTAGAGCACTTGAAACATTTAATTGTTTCAGTGGAGTTTCTATTTTATTTTATGTTGAGAAATGGCATCTTCTTAGATTTTTGATTCCCAAGCAGAAATAAGATGTTAGTAGAATTCCCGGATGATTGTTAGAATTCTAGACATAATGACTTCATTACTTGTTCCTTGTCCAGTGCTCAATGTCTTTCTACCAAGCTTCTCAATTTTTTAATGTTTGTTATGTTGTTCTTTGTTATGCTTAAATTAGGAGCTGAATATGAGACTTTAAAAAAAAATTCTCAGTAGGTCACACACTTGTGTTTTATTGACTCCTTCAAAGATCTGGTATATTTTAGAGAACATTCATTAGTTATTGATACTAGAAATAATAATTCTCTGGGCTTTGGCATCTTAGAGTCGCCAAATATCTTTTTCATCGGGTTTTTCTTCTCTTGAATTACTGACTTTAAAGAATATCATTAACTGGAATCTCCAGATTTTATAATTCTCACTGTCTGTCAGTTTTTCAATATTTAACAAGTCACCTGAAAAGTGCTTCCCAACACCATTTTTAATTACTCACAGAAAAAATGCAACATATTATTTTCACATCAAATGTTTTACGAACTAGAGGGTTCTGGGCACATAACCTGAAAAATTTTTACTTTTTAAAACAAGCACAAATAAACAAAAAAAAAGTGTTAAAGAGTGGGTACAACTTCATATAGATTATTATACAGAGACAAGAGGTTACAAAGACCAATGGTTAACATTTGTCAATGTTGCTAATAACAAAAAAATAACTATTATTTTAATAGGTTAAATCTTATATTACAATTATACAGTAATAATTTTGATATATGGCTGACTTTATCGTGGTGGGAGGTTCCTCTATACCACTTATTCGTATTTGGTTGAAGGAGAGCCTGAGAGAAGTGCAGAAGCTCTCTAAACCTCGCTAGACTTCATACACTGTTTGTTACAAACTGTACAAGAATAGGGAATTTGAACAGGAATAGTAGATTTGTAGCTTCATGTTAGAAAATAAATATTGATATAGAGAACATAAGAAAACTATTGCAGCCAACATAGAATATTTATTTTTATTTTATTTTCGGTGTATATATTACATGGCAAACTAATTTTTTTTTTTTGTTTGTTTATTTAGGATTTAAGGCGTAAAACCCTAGGGTCATCAACGCCAATTTTTTTTTTTTTTTTTGTATAATCATATCATAAATATTACTAGACATCTCAGAGACAAAATTGCTCGACTCACATCATGTCACTTGATATGAACGAAGGGGAAAATACAGGATGGTGCTGGATGTATGAATACCTTCATGAGGTCTCTCGTTCAGTCAAAATCTCTCTGGGAAAAAAAAAACCAAGGTTTCTCTCTCCAGGTTGTAACAGGCGATTTCCTACATCTGGGACATTATTTTCCTCCAGAGGACCTAGGTTAGGCAATCCAGCTGCAAGATAAAAGACTAAATATGATTGGTTGGCTGGAGGTGATCAGTTTTCTTTAATTTTAGAATATTTTGAAGTGAGTGGTGCTTTTAAAAACATTACTGACTACATGGATCTCACATCTCCATAAGGCGGCTAAACACATTAATTTTTACACTTATAACACCTCACATCGAGGCAGGATTTTTTCTTGAGTGGCAGTTCATGATACTTACCAGAAAGGACAGCGATAGATTAGTGGTTATCATACTGCTCTCTTATTATCAAGGTTCCTGGTTCAAGAATGGTTCATATAAATAACTTCTTCCTGACATTATTAATTTATATTATAATTAATTTAACATTAAAATTAATTTTCAAATTATAATAATTATTTATAATTCATTTTGTTACAAATGCATACTTTCATAGTACATGGTTTGATACAGGAGAACAAATTTTATGATCTTATTTTGTAAATTTAATTTAAAAGGTTCTTTTTTGTGAGATGATGTAAAAAATTAATATAATCAACATTATTACAAATTGTACAAGCTTTAATTTTGTATAGAACGTTTTTATCACTCTGATGGATGGTTACCCTGAAAAAGTGATCTTCTGGGTGTCCCCCTCCCCCTTCCACATTCGGCTCACCTCCTAGGAATGGGGACTTTTAGTATGTTTACTAGTCGGATCTATGTCCCCAAAGTCAAAAATTGTGTCCCTTCCATTTTCTTATATATCCCTTATTTGAGCACTCATTGACTGGACTAAAAAAAGCTTATGATTCAGCAACTGATAGTTGCTGTCAGAAAGATAAGGGATATAAGGTAGAGATTTGTAGATGGAGGCCAAAATGAGTAGTGGAATTTTAGGAGATTTTTGGTTTCACCAATATAAATTTATAGATATATAGATTTTTGGTTTAATCAATATCATCTCTAAAACCCTCCACATTCAGCTTCAACCAAAGACAGTGAATCTAAAAACAGACAAACAAAACTTATCCATGACCCATGCCCAGATTCTGAATTTATTAAAACATCCTTAGCAGCTCTTTCCTATCCTCGATATTCTTCCTCTCAGTACTCATTTTCAACAACTTTCTCATTTCCCTTTAATTTAATTCATTTTTCGTTTTCTTTAATCTCACATTTCACGTTTATTTCAGTAATACTCCATTATTATTTAATATTTATGATCTCTGCATTATACTGTCTCCTTAATGTATAGTATATTATATTATAATATCTCTTTAATTTAATTCATTTTTTGTTTTCTTTAATCTCACGTTTTACATTTATTTCAGTAATACTCTGTTATTATTTACTATTTATTATCTCTGCATTATACTATCTCCAGATACCCTATTTCTATTCACTCAATTACAAATTTATTTAATAAGCTCATAGAATTTATCTACAATAAACCTCTCATCCATTATATGTGTTTCTGTGCTTTAGCTCACCTATTTCAGTTAACTGTTACAGAGGACGCTACTTAAGTTATACCTTTTACAGTATCTTCATTTTTCTATTTACATCTATTATTTACTTTACATAACTTCATATTCCTTTTCTCTGTTTTACATTTTATTCTATGATTATCTCACATCCTTTTAGCATACTTAGACATCATATTTTAGCAACTACATCACCCTGTTTATTTTATGTCAACACTTACCTTTTTCATCTCATACATTCCATAACATTTCGTTGTTGATTTATTTTTCATTTGTTATGTTACCTAATTCCATTAGTCTCTACTTTATTGCCATTATTATTTATTTCATAGTTCTCTGTTACTGTTATTATTTATTTCATAGTTCTCTGTTACTGTTATTATTTATTTCATAGTTCTCTGTCACTGTTATTATTTATATCATAGTTCTATGTCCCTGTTATTATTTATTTCAAAGTTCTCTGTCACTGTTATTATTTATATCATAGTTCTATGTCCCTGTTATTATTTATTTCAAAGTTCTCTGTCACTGTTATTATTTATATCATAGTTCTATGTCCCTGTTATTATTTATTTCAAAGTTCTCTGTCACTGTTATTATTTATTTCATAGTTCTCTGTCACTGTTATTATTTATATCATAGTTCTATGTCCCTGTTATTATTTATTTCAAAGTTCTCTGTTACTGTTATTATTTATTTCATAGTTCTATGTCCCTGTTATTATTTATTTCAAAGTTCTCTGTTACTGTTATTATTTATTTCATAGTTCTCTGTTACTGTTATTATTTTATTCATAATTTCCTAACTTTCTTACCGTTATGTTAGATATCCTAACTTTGCTTCCATTATTTTCTACCTCTAACTTTGTTATCGTTATTTTATATTTCATTTAAGTTTATTCTACCCACTTTATTTTACTTTAAATTTATTCTATCAACTTTATTTTACTTTAAGTTTATTCTACCTACATTATTTTACTTTAAGTTTATTCTACCTACATTTTTTCTACTATACCTTTCACCTATGTATTATTTTTTTCTTTTTAATGTTAATAGTCTCTCATACCTATTATTATCTGGTGTTTTCTTAGCCCTGATGAAGGCCTGAACTTTGGGACGAAACGTCGGCAAAAATAAAAATAAATATAGTTAATTATTTTTAATTTTTTTTTTTTTTACTGATCACCCCAACCAATCTTCTCTGAAATTAACAGTAATATTCATTATATTGGCATTATAGAAAATCATCCATTGTGACCATCTATCGATACTTAATTGGTAATCACAAGAAAGAATTTCTATAAGGATTGAGAAAAACGGAAGTTTGAATATGAAGTAGGTGGTAAAATAGAAGTTGTTTGAAGAAATTTTTGGATGAGGGTTGATGTATAGAAGTTGGTAAAGAGTTCTGAAAAGAGGTAGACAGCACCTCGATAGTTAGATAGTTTTTCAGATAAATTGAATCAGAGAATCGCTAATATAAATGTGGTGTTAAATGTTTATAAAAATATTGCGCACTTTAGCTAGTGTCAAGTTCTTACTCTATGTCATTGGCAGGAGCAAACGTTTTTCTCACTCTTTATAGAAATTCTTCCTTGTGATTACCAATTAAGTATCGATAGATGGTCACAATGGATGATTTTCTATAATGGCAATATAATGAATATTACTGTTAATTTCAGAGAAGATTGGTTGGGGTGATCAGTAAAAAAAAAAAATTAAAAATAATTAACTATATTTATTTTTATTTTTGCCGACGTTTCGTCCCAAAGTTTAGGCCTTCATCAGGGCTACGAAAACACTAGATAATAATAGGTATGAGAGACTATTAACATTAAAAAGAAAAAATAATACATAGGTGAAAGGTATAGTAGAAAAAATGTAGGTAGAATAAACTTAAAGTAAAATAAAGAAGGTAGAATAAACTTAAAGTAAAATAATGTAGGTAGAATAAACTTAAAGTAAAATAAAGTTGATAGAATAAACTTAAAGTAAAATAAAGTGGGTAGAATAAACTTAAATGAAATATAAAATAACGATAACAAAGTTAGAGGTAGAAAATAATGGAAGCAAAGTTAGGATATCTAACATAACGGTAAGAAAGTTAGGAAATTATGAATAAAATAATAACAGCAACAGAGAACTATGAAATAAATAATAACAGTAACAGAGAACTATGATATAAATAATAACAGTGATAGATACATGTAATGACAGATACATACAAATACATGTAAAATTTACTTGCTTGTGTATACTATAAAATTTAATTAACTGTACAATTTCAACTGCAATTAACAGTTAATTAAGCACTGTTTTGTATTCCTCTAAGCCAGACTAACGAACATAATTTTGAAGTTGTATTATTATTCTTAGGGGACTATAGTCCCAGAATAAAAATTTTCATTTCATTTCACATTAATCATAAACCCATGATAATCTTGTTGACTTTTCAAACCTAATGATCTCATTTAACTACATCAAAAATTATCCATACGGATGTAGAATATAAATTTTTTTTTCAAAGAATTCAGTAAATGTCTTAAGATTCCTGGTTTTTCCTCCACAAGGAAAATTACCATACTATTCCTCAGTTTTCAAGGAATTTCCTATAGCTGAACACCCTATTTACAGACACTGTACTTCAATGAGTAAATTTATTAAAATCAAGCAAACAATACTACTCAAAAATTCTTATTATTTATTGATGAGATTGTTAGATATAACTTCCTTTGAGACATATTTTCACTTCATATGTCACTTAGCATTACAATGTTAGCGTTTTGGGATATATTTTCAGTCATTAGAACTGTCTAGAGTTTTTATCAGACTTATTTCTATTTTGCTGGTTTTCTCCCTTTGTCAAACAACAGTTTTTGTTTTTTTGAATTAAATAAAATCAAGGGCAATATTTATTTTGGCTAACGGTTAGCTACTATCTAAATGGAATGAATATGACAAAAACTTTAGGACAATACCGATGATGATAAATAAATCCCGAAACATTAACATTGTAATGGTATGTAACAAATGAATATATGTCTCAAGGAAGTTATATTTATCAATCTCATCAGCATAACCTAAAACTTTTTAACAAAAGAAGAAATTAATACTTATTGATTTCATTATCTCACCAAACATCCATACATCACTGGCTGTTGTGAATCTCCTGTAGTTGATAGACTCTGGTGCCATCCACTTGATAGGAAGTTTCCCCCTACTAGCTTTATAGTAAGATTGATCATTGATCCATCTAGACAGCCCAAAGTCACCCAGCTTAACACATGTTGGACTGGCAACTAACACATTTCTAGCCGCAATATCCCTTGATAAAACAACATAAAATTATAATTATAAATATCTCACATAAACAAGTTTTAATTAATTTTAAAACTGATGTATCTAAGCGAAAATAAATTAAAAACAAAAAACCTGTACCTCATCGGAACTTGGAGTCAGACTGAAAAGAATAATGAATGGCTTAGTACGATTTGTCAATGGGACCCCGAGACGTTCTCATGTTTCCCACTACTACGCCAAGTCAGGGTGGCTCTTTCCCTCCTTCAGAAGCCAGTACTTCCTAGGTACATTCCTTTACCAAATAATCTATAATCATCGTCCGTCCTACGCATTCAATCTCCTTCAATTCAAGTCATCTATCCACTCCCTCTCCACAAGATCTCGTCCTTCCGACCTTTATACCCCTTTTCACTAATCGGCCTCATTTCAACACTCCTTTATTGTCCGATCCACCACATTTTGGAATTCCATCCCACTTACAATCCACCATGCACCATCCTTATCCACATTTAAAACCCTCCTTTTCCAATTCCTCCTTACAATTGGGATGATTTGGTCATCTATGCAGAATGGATGAGGACTGTGATCCAAAGAAGTTTTTTGAGGCCAGACCTACCGGACGCCGTCCTCGAGGAAGACCTAGATTCTTATGGATGGACCACACCTCCAGGATTGGTGAAAAGAAAGGGAAGTCTATCAATTCAATGAAAGCGCTGGCTCAGGATCAAGAGGCTTGGCAGTCCTGGATCAGGGCCTCTCCACGCTGAGAGGCACTAAGGAGGACGATAAAGAAGAAAATAAAGATTCTTTTATTAAAAATGTTTGTAATATAGATGAAAGTATTGACTATCGATATTCCAAGTCCGATATTTAGATGGTATCGATAGTTATAGGCTAATATTAATATCAATGACAATATCAGTATTGGGACTTCGATATCCCATCCCTACCTACAATGTGGCTAGGGGTATAAAACTGATGTTTGTTTTTAACTGACTCTCAGTTCAGCTCCTTCTTGAAAATCTGTAAATAACACAGGTAATTACAAAAATAATTAGGAAAAAAAAGCTAATTAGATTTTCTGATTGTTTCTATTTCTTAAACTTTACAATTACTTAACTTCTGGACAGAAAATCTTTGTTTATTTAAATTTAATATATCTATCTTTTCTTTAATTGCAAGAAAGTTAAGGGGTGTCATTCTTAACCTTTTAAGTTAAAAAAACAAAAATGACTAAGCCATGTTGGATTTTAAGTAAAACATGAGGAGGAGATTGAGATGTATCATTAGTAATTTTTAATTCATTAGTGTTACTCCAGAATAAACAACCATATTCTAAAGATGAATGTTATCATAATTAGGTACTATACATCAATATTGCAAAACATAATATTTCAAAATAGAATAAAACCATGGAAAGAATAAGATGATTAAGATAAAGCATTTATCTTATTTAACAAATGAAAATTTTTATTGTCAATGTTGTCAATTTGAAAATGTTAAAATTGTCTTAAACTAATTTTGTTTTATCAATTTACTTGAATATTATTTCTTAAATTATTATTTTATCCAATAATCTTTTCTGACTTTATAATTTTGACTACAATAAGTATATATAAATACAGAAAAAAAAAATATTACATTTAAATTAATAAAGATTAATTTAGACTGTCAAGAAGCCTCATTGAGCTAAAGCTGAGCCAGAAACAACACCAACTGATGAAAAGTGGATTCAAAGAATAATAAAATAAATACTTCAAATAAAAAAGAAATAGAAAAAAAAAAACATTTTGAGTAAATCAAATTACTGACAAGGAGAGCTTTGTATTTAGAAATAGAAAATCATCTTTATTCTGGGACTAGGTCCCTTTAGAATAACAGTATTGCTCATATAAATTAACCATAAATCTGGCCAAAAGACTTATTACAATGAATAATAACAAAATACTAGTAATAAATTAAGTATAATACTTCTTAAGATAAATTAACGAGAACAGTTGTGTAATAGGGGTTCAGTACTACAATATTGGAGCTAAAACAATAGCGTAATAATCACTGAATGTAATAAGAAAGGAACGCAAAATCAATTTTATAGGCAAAGCATTGTAGTGATGGAATATAAAAATTAAAAAAATAATAATAATTGTTAATATGCAAAGATAGAAATCGAAAAAACAAAAAAAAAAAAAAAAAAATGATACACATATGTTTCCTAAGATATTTAAGTGATTATGCGTAAAGATTAGGAGAAGAAAAAATAAATGTAAGTATATATTATTTTTTCTTCTCCTAATCTTTACGTATAATCACTTAAATATCTTAGGAAACATATGTATATCATTTTTTTTTTTTTTTTTTTTTGGAGAGGGTTTGGGCTATGAAAATGCCTAGGTTTTTTTACTGAGGAGGTGAAGGTGATGGGATGGTCATTTAGGTACAGGATAGGTATATTGGTATTGGCTCTGAGAAGGGGTTTGGAACCAATGACATGGCTTGAGTTTTTGCAGCGTTTAATCTTAATCCATTTAAGTTTGCCCAGGCACTGATCCGATTCAAGTCTTCTTGAATTTTGGCAAATGATTCATGCAACTCTGAGGGATGGAAGGAAAGGTAATTTGGGAATCATCGGCGTAAAGGTGATGAGAGCAGTGAAGGATTGATTTATGGATGTTATTGATATAAGAACTAAAAAGAAGAGGAGATATGCTAGAGCCCTGGGCCACTCCTGAGGACAGAGTAAGATAGGAAGACAAGGGTTGATTAGGGATAGCGACAGCTTGTGAGCGTTGGGAGAGGAAAGATTGAAACCACAGGATAGAACTATTGGAAAAGGATAATGATTTTAATTTGGAAAAGAGAATGGAATGCTTAATGGTATCAAAGGCTTTGGAAAAGTCAAGGAGTATAAGGATAGTTAGTTTTTTGTCATCTATGGCGGACTGAACATCATTAATGATTTTGATTAGAGCGGATTGTGTGGAGTAACCTGGTCGGAAACAAGATTGGTAAAGGTCAAGTTGATTGGACTGTTCAAGGAAGTAGGAAACTTGGGATTGCACAATTCTCTCCAGGGGTTTAGAAAGGTTAGAAAGGATTAAGATTTATTGTTCTTGTCAAACACCAACTGAAGAAGTATTAAGTACCCAAAATTGGGTAGGTCAGTATTTTGGTGAAATATTTAGTACTTGTAATTCAGAGTAGGAGTAGGTATCTCTGCTTCTATGATACATAATCATTAAATAATAAAACACAAATATACCTGTGAACAAAATTCTTTGATTCTAGATAGGAGAGAGCTGTTGACAACTGATAGATATACAAAAGAAGGGAGGCCAAATCTAAATTTCCTCGATTATTGTTGAGATAAGCCCGCAGTTCACCCAATTTCGCCAACTCCATCACTATACAGACTGGTGAATCCGTGCAGACACCAATCAACTTAATAATGTGTGCATGGTCAAACTGCTGCATTACATCTGTATACAAACAAAAATAAAAAATTAATTAACAAAAGAAAATTATTGTAAAAATTAGAAGAACTAATGTCTAAAAATGTCAACAGTGTCTAATATTTAACAACTGTATTACATAGAAAATACAATAAGTAAATGTGAAATTGGTAACATGACATGTACAACATGAAGAGAAACTACCCATTGGTAGCACTCTAATAATTTGTCTACATGAGGAGATCAAGAGGCCATCTTCTTTTCAGACGCCTCGGAGGGTTATCAGGAATCGAAGAGGAAGCAAGGTTTGAAACGAGAGGATTCGGATGGTTTTGCAGTTTGTTATGAAAGGACAGGTATCTGGATTGGGCCAAATTAGAAACATATGGAACATTAAGGTCTTTATGGATGATTTTATTTGTGACAAAGTAAGGAGCGTTGAGGATTTTACGAAGGATTTTGGATTGTAAGGATTGGATACGAGAGGAATTTGATGGTTTAGTGGAACCCCAAAGCTCAATTCCGTAAGTCCAAATAGGTCGTATTATTGTCATATATATGAGTCCTTTATAATTGATTGAAAGCTTAGAGCGTTTGTCTAGTAAGTGCTGCAGTAGTCGAAAACATCGGGCGGTTTGTGTCTAATTTAAATCAATTTAAGATGGAAATAAATAAAATAACTAAACTTTTAAACAACTTATTAATTACATGATCTATTGCAAGTGTAATCAAACTTTTTAGCCAATTGAGTGAGTTCACCATTAAATCCCAAGAACCAAGAACTAGCTAACTTAACATAGCAACACACTCATATCATTAATTACTGTAAAAATGTTTAGTTTAATTAAATATGTAAGTTGTTCGCTTTTAAGGGATCATTAAATAAAAATTTAATGATTCACCAATAATGTAAAAATTATGATATAATTAACATAAACTGTGGCAGAGTGGATCAGTAATTCCTACTACCATATTTAGGAAACCTTGATCTATACCAGCACAATCCCCAGATAATAATCATTTGGCCAGAACAACAAATGCAGAAGAAGACAGATTTTAAACAAACTTCTTAAATGGAAATATTATATTTTAAAAATCCTTAATATTCTTTTTATTAATCATTTTGTTGAATTTAACCTTTTAGCGACAATGAGCGGGAAGAATGGTACGTCCTTGAGGACAGAATACTTTTAATCACCTCTACTAACCACTTACACATTTTTATTTAAGACATCATTCATAAATGCCCATAATCTTCAGTCACAGAAAAATTTCGAACTGCCTCATGAGTATCAAGTTAACAAATATTGTCGAAAAAATATATAGATTTTAATGTGAATATTGAATGTTTATGAAGGAATTCAAGGGACTCTTGTTTAAATATAAATGGTAAAAAGTATTAGAGCTCTGTAACGATTTTAATTTGGCTATATTAAATGGCCGTATAAAAAATGATATAAAAGGTATAAATGTATAATGTATAAATAAATAAATAATGTATGTATAAATAAATAATGTATAAAAGGTATGATATAAAAAATGATATACATACTTGGGAGCCTTGGGAAATTCTGTTATAGACTATGCTATTGTAAATATGAAGCTGCTATCAGTAGTAAGAAATTTCACTGTTGATTATCAAATTTTTTTGGACCACATGCCGACTATTACTTCTTTCGAAATTACAAATAAGGTAATTGAACAGTCTACTATACAACTTCTCCCAAAAATTAATTGGTTGAAACAAAATGAGTTAGTTTATCATTCTAGGGTGGATGGTTTAGTTAACCGTTTATCTGTAAATGATCATTTGGTAGAAGATTTGATAGACATTTTCTCAAATATAATCAAGAGGTCTGCTAATTATAATCCTTACAAAAGGTCAGTATATAAAAGTAAAAATCCATGGTTTGATAAGGAGTGTTTCCAGGCTAGAAAGATGTCATTTATAAGTTTAAAGTTATTTAGAAAATTTTCGTCCCTTCACAATTGATTACAGTATTTAAATTCAAATAGTGCTTATAAAAGTCTATGTTTATTAAAAAAGAAGCAATATTATATAGATTGTCTCCAGTGTCTGAATAAGGTTAATAACAGTAAAGAGTTTTGGGAACTTGTAAAAGTATTTAGAAAAGGTAATTACTGGTCTGTAGGTAATATATCATTTCAAGATTGGCTTATACACTTTATAACTCTGTACAACCCTCTGTTAATCCCAAACAGAATTTTATACGTTGAGCCTAATATTACTAATGCTATTTTAGATAGACCCTTCTCTCTTGGTGAGCTGAAAATGGTTTTGGGGTAACTCCAAAAATAACAAGGCGCCAGGAAGTGATAGGATCCCATATGAATTATACAAGTATGCTCCCAATTCCTTTTTAAATATTTTATTGGCTACATTTAATATAATTTTTGAAATGGGGTATGTCCCTTCAACATATAAAAAATTCATTATTTTCCTATTATATAAAAAAGGGGATGAAAATTTGGCTTCTAATTACAGGGAAATCTCCTTCATTAATCTGGGGGTATGTAGCCATGGAAAGACTGCTAAGATTCTTTCTTAAACAATTATTTAAATAACCACAGTATGCTCCAACACATTTTATTCACTTTGAGATTAAAATAGATCCGTTATTTATCTTCACAATCAAACTCCATTAGCACTACAGATAATTAAAGAAGAAATCGCATGGTTTAGAGACTTACTTAATCTGATAAAATGCATGGATTGAATTTCAACTTAAATCGCTCTGACTGTGATAGTGTTAAACTATGGAAAGTTAATTTATCTTTACTAAGAACTCAAATTCAGAGATATATATATAATCAATATACAATTAAAGTTCAGAATTCGAAAACTTTCACTTTTTATCCTCATTTAACTTCAGTAAATTATATTGATGATAAAAGCTCATTGAAGGTGATCAGATGGGTAATTAAAATCAGGGGAGATGTTTTGAACTTAAATTATAAACACTTCAAGCTACCAAATAATATTTGTAGCATGTGTAATACAAACAAAACAGAAGAGCTCTATCACTTCCTGGCTGCTTGTCCGATACTCTCTGAATTTAGAATTAAATGGTTAAAATCTAGAAATTTATCTCGGGATCAGGTAATAGATTTTAATAAATTGAAACAAATTAGTTGTATATAAATACACTGACAGGCAAAAAATTCCACCCACTTGATTTTTTCATGTACTCATCTAAAAATATTTCTGCTTTGGATTGGTCTATTGTTTTTAATGAATAAATAGGCAATCTTTTTGTTTGCTTTCAATTAGGAATGTTAATATAGAGGACAATAACCCTTAATCCTTAATTCAATGAAATGATTCTAGATTCCAATGTTTACTTTCTATGGAATCAAAATGTTTATTCAGTATCATTAGTTCAGTGCCGTTTCTTGCAGCACATTTCTTAGTCTCCTGCTTTTAATTTTTTCAATATTAAGTTTAAAAATGCCTCTTAGTGCTGAGGATGTTGCGCATGGTGTGGCACTTATTGATGATGGACGTTCCATTAGATATGCAGCTAATGCCATCGGAATCCCATATGAAACTTTACGAGACGCCGTCAGGCGTTTTCGGGAAACTGGTTCTTACAATAGAAGGGCCGGTTCTGGACGGCCTAGGGTAACAGAACCACAGGATCACCGGTTTTTGACTTTGAGAATTTTACGAAACCGGCACCTTACCGTTGTTCAAGCGATTCATCAGCTCGAAGAAGTTCGAGGTGTGCAAATTTCTGAACTTACCGCTCAGAGAAGATTAAATGAGTGTGGATTAATGGATTAGAACTCACAGAGTAACACGGCTGGCTTTTGCTCGAGAACACAGCCATTGGACTATGGACGAATGGAGTGCTGTACTTTTTACAGATGAGTCAAGATTCGCTCTTCGATCTCCAGACAGGTATGAAAGGGTGTGGAGAAGAAGAAACGAAAGATATGCAGCCTGTAATTTTTCCCAGAGCCAACCTTTCCAACGTGGTTCCTTAATGGTGTGGGCTGGGATTTAAATGGAGCGCTGCACAGAATTGGTTGTTGTTTGTGGAGGGTCTTTGACGGCCATTCGCTATGTAGATGAGATTTCGGAACCTCATGTGTTGCCTATCCTCACCGAAATTGGCGATCGTTCTATTCTAATGCACGCCCGCATAGTGCAGATGTTCCTTCAACATAACAATATTGAGGTTTTAGCCTGGCCAGCACATTCTCCAGATTTGAACCCCATTGAGCATTTATGGGATAACCTCGGAAGACGAATAAGAGCGTGTGCAACACTTCCTGATACACTGCAGGACCTTGAATGGGCTATCCTCCAGCAAAGGGACATTTTCCGACTGGTGGAAAGTATGCCGAGGCGTCTTCAAGAAGTAGTGAAGGCAAGAGGAGGAACTACTAAACGATGATGTAATTAATTTCTTTTAGAATAATAATGGTTCGTTTTTCAATTTCAAGGAACTGTTGGAGGGTAGCAATAGATTTTCAGATAATTTGGGAAATATGGTTATTCTAGGAAAGGTGGTAATAAAAAATTATCCCAAAATACTACTCTACTTTGAGTAAAAATAGGTCTTTTCATTGTTTGATGTTTTAGGCACAAAACATCTAGATCATCTGTAACCGATAAACAAAACAATACTACTATTAAAATATTTTAGCTGGAAGAAACATCATACATAGAAAACCTTAAGTAAAATTCAAAGGCGCTACAACATATTATTCAAAAGAATTAATTATCATATGTTATCCCCACTCTTCTAATATATTAAATTTATGTGTTTTTCATCACCAACAAATATATACTTCATATATATCTAAGTGAAAGTAAACAAAAAATTAATTAATAATTAGAGTACTCACATGCTTCTTCGAGAAATACTTCTGTTACAGCCATATCAGAGCCTGGTTTACATGTTTTCACAGCCACCTAAGAATAAATTTTATTTCAATAACTTTTTTATAGAACAATATGAAATCCTAACAATTCATATTAACTTATTTATAATTTTAAGATAGCTTGTTAATTAATAACCAACATCAAAATATTTACATCTTACATCCAACTGATCTGAAAATCTACAAAACGGTTAGCGAAATTATTAATCAATATCATATAATTAATAATCAAGTAATACTTTAATCAATATCATAAGTAAAATCAATCCAACAAACAAACATCTATAATTTATTTTGGAAAGCTATGAGTTTTATAAATAGTTCTAAATATATAATAAAAGTACTCGTTTGTTGATTTTAAAAAAGCATACGACTCAGTGGATAGAAAGACACTACTGGAAATACTGAGACAATACGGAGTGGACCAGAAGACCAGGAAACTAATAGAATTAACACTAACTGACACCGAATCCAAGGTAAGATTCAGAGGAACCACCAGCAAATCTTTCCAGATAAGGACGGGACTCAGACAAGGAGACGGTTTCTCCCCAACACTGTTCAACGGGGTACTAGATAGGATAATGAAGGAATTGTGAAAAACCAATGATGTGGGTGCAAGTATAGGGACCAAAAACAACCACGTCAAGGTAAGGTGTCTTGCCTACGCAGACGATCTTGCACTTTTAGCGGAAACGGAAGAAGAGGCAATCGACCAAATAAATACACTGACGGAAATAGCCAAAAAAGCGGGTCTCCAAATCTCCTACGAAAAAACAAAATTAATGACCACAGACGCAGACTTCAAGAAAAAAACAGTGGAAACCAAATACGGGTCAATAAATGTAACAAATAAATTTAAGTACCTGGGTGAGACTATATGTAATAATGGTTCGGAAAAAGAAAGTATCAAGGAAAGAATAGCCAAATTGGAAAAACTAACTTTTGCAACCAGTAACATATACAACAAGAGAAACCTGTCCACGGAAGCAAAAATACGACACTACAATACAGTTGTTAAACCTGTGATACTATACGGGACGGAAACCACATGCCTCCCCAGTCTGGAAAAATTGTTGAGAATAGAGCGAAGAATTCTAAGAAGGATTTACGGCCCCAAAAAGACAAAAGAAGGATACAGGCTAAGATCCAATCAGGAAATATACAAGGACAAAAGAGATCTAGAAACGGAAATTAGGATCAGGAGACTGAAATTCCACGGACATATGGTAAGAATGGCCCCAGAAAGACTTAACAAGGAAATATTCCAAAAAATCCGTAGATACAAAAGCTTGGGAGGATACATCAGGCAGATGAAGGAAGAAACGGAAAGACTTGGAATAACGGACCGGGACTGTCTGGACAGAGAGGGGTATGGTAAGAGACTAAAGGAGATCACGGTTCTTGCTAAGAAGAAAAGTTTGAGAAAGGGAGTCGCGTGGACGGAGGAGAGAAAGTGGCGGGACGCGGAGATAATGAGAGAAAAGTGGAAAGAAAGGAAAAACAAGAAAGAAGCCAAATGTCATGATATTCGCGTGGTCTCTATGGCCGTTCCGTGAAAAAAAAAAAAAGTACTAAGAAAAATTTTGTACTGAATTTTTATTGTAATTTCATGATTAAAAAAAAAGTCCAATTCAAGTCTCTAAAAGTTGACTTTTTGGCTATTAAGGGATTCATTACAGGCAAAAAATCATAACCAAGTGTAAGAATTTAATTTCCTAAAAAAAATACTAGATAATAGGATGTCTTATTAACCATTTGTCTAAAAAAACATTCTGCTGTATCAATTTTGTAATGCCTTAATCATACAGTGTTTTCTGATATTACGAAAATATAGTCAGTGTATTCTACACCAGCTGAGGTCATACAGGAATAACTGATGGCCCTAAATTTTAAAATTGGACAGGAGGCTAACATTATGAAGGACAATAGGCACATCTGGGGTAAATAAAAAGGTACCATTATCTCTATTTTTAATAGATTTGGAACCCTCACCAGGGGTTGATAAAATATACAAAATTAAAATATTATATTTCATGAGTTTAATGAATCAGAAGAAGTGTCCTAGCAGAAATTAGAGCTTATTTTATGCTTAGGCACTTAGTAAAGAGCAAGATAATCTCTCACAATTTTTAAGTTCGCATGTATAAAATCCTGATCAGACGTGTTATTACTTATGGAGGGGAAACATTGACGTTAAACAATAACATATGTGACAGGCTTGACACGTTCGAAATAGCTGTGAAGGAATGTTTGGCCGTGTCTATAAGAATTAAACATGGTGTGAAGTAAAAAAAAAAAGGAAATTATCTTCATAACAATCTTGGACAGTCAAATATAATGAGCACGAGTAGGATAAAATGCTATAGCCATGTCAACCAAATGAATGAAGACAGACAAATGAAGAATGTTTTTACAGAATGATTTCCGTCACAAGACCAAGATGACGATGGTGGAATACAGAACTTTGTGTCAACAGATGTTGAAACAGGCCCAGGACCACTTTGGTCTGTAATGCCAGAAGAAGAATATTGTGAAAAATCATACACATAGAGAGAAATTGTCCAGTACCAAAATTGCCAGAAAGATGGCGACAACAAAACATACGGCTATCATGCCAAGAGGTGTGAAATGAAGTGAATCACATAGGTCTGATGAATACATCAAATCAAAAGCAACTCCTGCAGGATATGATCTATGCCTAGAAGAACATCCTGCCAACTCTGACTACCAATAAAGACTATCAAATCTGTAAAATAATCAAAACTAAATTTCATAAACCACAGAACTAAGAAGAAATTTCTAAACCAAGAACTGCTAAAATTACACCACTGCTTTCACTTCTTTCAAATCTAGTATCTCATATTATCCCTCCTTTAAAAAATCCTTAAATTAATCCCATCGAACCCTTATCCATTTTTGTTTGGAAGGCAAATGGTATTAGTAGAAATCACACTGATGAACTTATTACTAGCCACGAATGTCGAAATAGCCCTAGTTACAGAAACTTGATAGACAGGAAAACAGCTTTTGAAATTACAAAGCATACCACATCGTACTAATTATCCTGGTGGTAGAAAACATGGTGATACTGTTCTCATTGTACAATAATCCTTTTCCATTTCCTACTCCTATTTTCTACAGTGCACTGCTATCATAATCAATTCATTAGGACATCATTTAATCCATGGAAAGATACATGTAACTTTTTTTGCCAAATCCTTTCCGATAAAATTTTCCTTTTGCACTTGTAAAAATCAAAAGTGCTGTGGTTATTGGCTGTTTTGGTGATTTTGGGTTATTATTAAATAATAAACAAAAGGTAACCAATAACTTTCAGAGTTTATTGAGACCGTTGAGCAAGAGGCAAGGTCCATGATGATTAACCCCACTATACCTCTTACTCCCCACTACCGCTATTAGTGTCTAACAGTTTACTGCTCAGTACACTAGTAGCTTTATGATGACTCTGTGCCCGACATGTAAAAAACACAATCGGCAGAGAAGATAAGTCTACTTTAGTTTGTTCTACATGCAAACTAATATACCATAAAAAATGTAGCAATATCTCAGAGACCAACGCATCAATTAAAAAACAATTGGTTCAGTCACGTGTGTTGTTACCAAAATTATTGGTGACAAAATTACCTCAGCTCAGAGGAGACAGCCAAAGTTCAAAAAAAAAAAAAAAAGTAATGTAAAATAACTTGGAAAAAAAAAATTAGGATAGATAATTTTAATCCTTACTACTTCTTAAGTTTTTATCGGATGCCACACTATTTTTTCGTTATGCTTGGATAATAGAGAAACTTTCAATTACAAAAACATATATCATTCCAAAAATTTAATTATTGTTTTCAAATGGAGTCTATAAAAAAAAATAAATGAATATTACGGAAGGAAAACTAAAACTGACAATAAAACTAATTCTAAAATAAAATAAAAAAGGAAAAAAAAAATTTTATGAATGAAGATTCGAACTCACAGGGTGACTACCAAATTGTCAGAGTGAAATTCCCTGACTTTTCCCTGTTTAATGAAAGTTTTCCCTGACCAATATGTCAAGAGACACACATGTTAAAATATATAGTTTATAACTAATTAATTTATAACTATAAATATAATTTATAACTATTTAATTTATCATATAGGATCGAAATTGAAAGATTGGAGTAAAAAAAAAGTTTGTTCAGTTTTTTAAAAAACAAATATAATGTTAAAGAGGAAGCATTTTTTAAACATGATTAGGATTTTTTTTTTTTTTTTGAAAACTGACCTTAAGTAATTTATTTTTATCGCCTGTTTACTAATACTTTAAGCACTTTAATTTCATAAAGTAAGAGAATGTAAAAATTGATACTTGTGCTATTCTTATTTTAATGTAAGGCCATTTAGTTTTTTATTGTCACAAACCGAACAATAATTATCCATACAGTACTGTAAGGCGAGATGGCAGAATAGTTCAATCAATGAATGATTACAGAAGGAAATGGCAGGGACATGATTTTGTACTTTGGTAGATTTTTTTACTAATAAAGAAATAAAAATACTAAAAGTCCCCACTCCTAGGTGGTAAGCCAGGTGGGGGGAGGGGATAGGATGCCCCTAGAAGATCACTTTTTTGGGGGTTTCACTTATATCAGGAAAACTATCGATCGCATCAACAAAGACGTTCTATACAAAATTAAAGCTGATAAAATTTGCAATATGATTGATTCTATACATTTTTTCGCTACCTCACTTAGTTAGAGAGATATCTATCTTCACCTATGGCGAATTTTGAAGAAAAATAAATTTGAGTCTCCGCCACTTCTTTCTATTATCCCCTTTTCGGTCATTCATTGACTGGACCTGAGGGGACTAAAGCTGAGTAAAACAAACGTTTCCCGGTAACCTTATAAACTCAACTTTACATGATAAAATAATTATTAGTACGCATCCAGGTGCCAGGGGAGTTTTAAACATTTTCCACCAAGGAAAAGCTTCGTATAGTCTCAAAGTCGAAGAGGTGGACCCAAATAAAAAAAACTGAGACGTTTCAAGTTTGTACATGCTGTTATAATAGTCCGAGAGCCCGTGGTAAAAAAGGTGTCATATTTCATACTAAACTTTGTCCTTATAAATTGATCATATCAACAAGCCTGATCAGAAAAAGTTTTCCTGTATAGTTTAGAAGTTTAATCATTAAATTATAATTGCTCTAGCCTTTGAATGGTTGAAGATACGATTGTAAAATAATATATATTCTTAAAGAAAATTTAATATTAAATAACTTTCTTATTACTCATGAATTTTTCGTATAATGAAAAGTTAAAGAGTTGGCGAGTCAAATAATGATAAAAATGCGATGCAAATTTATTTATTTTTTCGAAATTAGTGAATTACGAGGGCGAATATCACGGAAACTATAGAATATAGCGAATATACTAATATAACCATTTCTACTGCAAATTTTGACAGCTTTAATTTCACATATCACACACGCCTTTGTTATTGTAATTATTTTCGTCTTCTGGTCATCTTTTAAAGCAACTGTGATAAATACTTATTTTTTTTTTCAAAATGGTTAACTGTAAACTATGTGGAAAATCAGTAAGTTGAGAAGACAAGACTAAATTAACTTGTATCACATGCCAAAACATTTTTCATGTTAAATGCATGAAAATAGACTTTTCAGACTCAGAAGGCCTAAAAGAAACCTCTAAAAAATGGAAATGTACCGATTGCGAATCAGTATCGCGTACAGTGCCAGCCATTGAGTCTAGTACTGTGATAGACCATTAGCCACTGACTTTAGACCCATTTCCATTTTATCCAAGCCTCTAGAAAGATTAGTTCATTCTCAGTTAAATAACTTTCTCTAGCAAAATTGTCCTCTCAATCTGTTACAATCCCCCCGGATTTTTGCTCCCAACATTCCACACAACCTGACTTGTTAAAGATTAACTAAGACCTCCAATTATCCATATATCAACAGAAAATCTTCAAAATAGTCCTTTTTGGCTTCACAAAAGTCTTTGATTCTGTCAATCATAATATCCTGCTTTCCAAATTCTAAAGCCTGCCCATATCGAATACTGTTTTAAAATGGTTTCTCTCCTTTTTTTCCCATCGCTCCTAGAAAGTTGTTATTCCTATCAAATCTCCTTCCTCGTCTCTTCACTCTCTCTGACCCTTTTCTCCACTTAGATGGTAGACAAAATATATGGTTAGCTGCAAAAATGGTGATATCGCTGGTGATATTGATATAGAAGGTAACATGTTAGAACAAGTAGAGAAGTTTAAGTATCTAGGGTCTACGATAACTAGAAAAAACAAAATTGAACAGGAGATTAAGGTTAGGCTGAAGGCGATAAATGCTTGTTATTTTTCTGTGAAAAAACTACTTAGCTCGCGCATCTTGTCCCAGAATGTAAAGACTAGAATCTATAAAACCATTATCCTACCTACAGTTCTTTATGGGTGCGAAACGTGGCAGTTTACATTAAGAGATGAGCAACGTCTTAAGGTTTTTGAAAATTAAGTATTGCATAGAATATTCGGACCGAAGAAAGATGAGTTAACTGGAGAATTCAGAAGGTTGCATAACGCCGAGTTGCGCGAACTGTATCCAGTTAATATAATTGAGGTGATTACATCACGGAGAATCAAATGGGCTTGTAAAATAGTTGGGCTTGGTAATGAAAGAATTCCTAAAAGGTCGATATTTGCTGTACTGAATGGTAAACGTCCAAGAGGTAGACCGAAGCGAAGGTGGGAAGATTGCATTAAAGCCGATCTGAAGGGACTGGGTTTGGACAGTGAACGGTGGAGGGAGGTGTGTAATAAGCGATTGGTGGTATCGATATCGAACCTCCGGGTTTGCTAAGCCTTTTATTATTATTATTATTAAATATAAGTTGTAGTGAGTGGGTGGAGTAAAGGAGAGCTTTGGGAATGATGAAAGGCCCTCTATCTCTCCTAAATTTCCCCTATAGTAGAAGGGAAGTTGACTCTGACCACCAGCCTTTTAGAGACGGTAAGAGAATAGTGGAGTATAAGGGACGAATATGTATACCACCATTGTTGTTGCTTGGGTGCGTTTCTGGAAATAGCACAAGCTTTTGACCAGGTATGGCAGACCGAAATGCTCTTCAAGCTTAAAATACCTCTAACCCATTTCTTATATCTAGTACTCTGATCCTAACTCTCCTTTCACCATTCGCTATAGTATAGAATTCTCCAACTGTTATTCAATTGACTTTATAATATCTTTTGTCCTACTTAATGTGTTTTTAAAGCACAAAGAACCGATTCTGCATCGGGCATACTATTTTCGCATTCTTCTGATTCCTTAGAAACAGGATTATCTGTAGAGTGCCCACAAGAGCCTCCTACTCAGGCCAATAATTAGTTGAGATGTGACCTGGATTAGCTTTCAAGAGTATTCCCATCAGGGAATTCAACATGTATACCAGCGCCATCATCCTTCATTCTGTGGCTGAACCATCCATATATATTTGAGTCCATTTATAGCTTAGATAGTTTGGATTAAAATAGTCCAGTCTAATGGCTCTCATCTCAAGGGTCAGCATACTTTCCTTACTGTTTATTTATCTAAGATATAAGGGAACAAAAACATTGGGGAATGTACACAAGATACAAGCAGGTTCTACATTTTCCATTCCAAATTCCATAAGCAGGTTCTTCATTCTGTAGAGAGCACTGTGTTATAAACAATAGTTCTTCATCACCTTAGGTAATACATTTTTGAAAAAGCAGTATCTTTTTAATGAAAATAAGTGTAATTTCATAATTAATTTACTAAATAAATGTCTGATCTCAAGAAGAACTAACTCCCATTGTTTATGCTATTTCATTCAGTTCCAAAGGCAGTTTTTTTTTTTTTTTCTGGAAATGCGTTCTTTACCAGGGTCATAACACTACCTTCATTTAACCCCTCTCTGTCTTGGAGGAATACTTGGTAATCTCTTATGCTGAAGCGGCTACAGTCCAACTGCCTCGGTGTAGCCTTCGTTGAGTGAAAATCGACTTTGGGTTAAAGTGTGTTTAAAGTGGTCAAAGTAAAACAACTGTGGTGATCGTTTCAAAGATTAAGAATATTAGTGACTATTACAAGTAAAGAAAATCTGAAGAAAATTGGCTTTTATTTTATTTATCAGATTACCCCCTACCTACTATTTCTGGTATATCAGAGGGGGGGGGGATGTTCTAAAGATACAACCAAACCTATTCTAAACAATGGGAAGGTCAAGTTCTATTCTGTGGGTCCACCGCAAAATAAAAGTTAACTCTTCCCAGACCGGTTCGAACCGGCATTGCTAGGCATGAGAACGATACAACGGGCAATGATCCAACACTCTCGGCCATCACAACCTCTACCTAGATAAAGAAAATTGACTGGCTCGCGATGGAAATAAGACCAGGTAAACCGTATCATTTATTAAACTACATGCTCTTTATCTATAAACCTATCAGTTGTCCCCTCTATAGCTTCCTCATGATAATACTTAATACTTACACTCAAACAGAGTAGGCAAAAAAGGAACGTTTGAAGTTTGAAGCTTTTAGTTCTATAGGAGGGGATATAAAGGTCAGAAACACGGGATCTTGTTTTCTGTGAGTAGACTGAGAATTGAGCTATAGGAGACAATAGATTTAGGAAGGGTACTGGGAGTTGATTGCTTGGTATAAGTAAGATCTGAGGAAGTATTGACAGGAGGGAGAAAGCCACTTTAACTTACTATACAGGTGGGACACAGGAGAACGTCTAGATGTACCAAAAACAAATTTTAATAAGCAGTACAAGATATGCTTCAGTCTGTCATCGAGTTCAATCGAGAGGTACACATATACCACATAGCAGTAGCGAAAGCAGGGAAAAATTAATGAGGATAGGAGCTTGCGGGGGAGGGGGGGGGGGTATTATGATATAACTTAAGTGTAATTATTGACTTTCGGGAGTTATGGATAATATGAGGTTTTCATCAATAGTAATCCCTAAGTTTTTTACAGAGGAGCTGAATGAGATAGAATGATCATTAATAACTAAAGAAGGAAGGGTGGCATTAGATTAAAGGAAGGAATTGGAACATATAACCATGGCCAAAGTTTCCATTGTGTTTATCTTTAATTTATTGAAGCTTGCCAAGGCACTGATCCTATTTAGGTCATCCTTTATATTAAAAAATGCTCCTAATAACTCAAAAGGAGTAAAGGATAAATAGATTTAGAAGTCATCAACATATAGTTGTGTATATGCTAAAGCATAAATTCACATTCAGTTTTTAAAATTTTTATTGCCAACGTTTCAACCCAAGTTTGTGGTGTTCAAGTACTGAGTTGAGTACTTGGACAACAACACTGCTGGTAACATTCCCTGATGATGACTCACAAGCTTGATTTGTAACAACAATAAAAATTTAAAAAACTGACTGTATATCACCCAGGATATATATAACAGTCAACTAACTTTCTTCAATATTAAAGAAGGCTCATAAACATTTTATTTATTTATCAATATATTCAACATTTTTTCACTTACATTTAAAGTAAATAATTTCTTTAAGAAGTCCATTTTAAACACATTTATAATAAAATATTCATACCTGGATCTTCTGACCTCCAACTGTGCAGATTCCTCGATGTACATCTCCAAACTGGCCTTCACCTATAATCTCTCCAAGCTCTAATTGTGATCTTGCCAATTCATAGTCCTTATCTATTGCAATACCAGTTAAATTGAATATCAGTATAAAAAAACAAAACATTGACGCATTATTTTTTTAAATTAATATAATAAATCTATTAGTAATTAAAAGTAAATAAATAAATCAAAGCATAACAGCTATGAAGGACCCCAGGACAGTGGTCAGTAAACTCAATACCTCGAGAGTGAAATTTACCACTAAAGACGTCAGGAAAAATTTATTTACTTACTTATAATATAATAAATATTTTTTTAAATATAACTTATTGAATCCCTATATAATATAATTGAATAAATATGAAAGAATCCCAAAGAATGGCGTGGAAATAATCATAGGCAACCTGAATGCAAAGATAGAAAAAGAAGAGGCATTTAGACCCATTATAGGCAAAGAAAGCAAACATGACTACTACAACGATAATGGACATTGTATAATTAACTTTGCAATGGAAAAGAAACTGGTCATCAGTAGTACGAAATTCCCACACAAAGAGACTTGGATCTCACCAGGCGGTCTAACTAGAAATCAAATAGACCATATTCTCATAGAATCTAGCCATGCATCGGATATCAGAAACATTAGAGTATTTATGGGAGCGGAGTGTTATACTGACAATCATATGGTAAAAGTCTATTATCAACAAAAGCTATCCGTAAGAAGGTGTAGCACCACAAAGAGTAGAACACAGGCCAACCCAGTATGGCAGCAATGCCAGGTAGGGTGTAAAAAAAAAGTGGAACACAGGCCTACAACTCAGAAAAACTACTCAAAAGTGAAGTAGCAGAAGTATTAAAAAATAAAATAAGAGAAGGTATAAAGAGGGAAGAGATTAAACAAAACACAACCATAAATGATAGACGGTAAAAAGTGAAAAATGTAGTGACAGAAAATGCAAGAGAGGTACTTGGGAAGAAGGAACCAACTCCCAGAAGTAACTGGTTTGACGAAGAATGTGAGAGAGTTCTGGACAAAAGAAATAGGGCGAGGTTAAACATGTTAAAAAGGAAAACCAGAAAAGTAGAAAGGAATTTATGACTAAAAGGAGAGAAGCCAAAAGAGTTTGTAGGTAGAAAAAAAGAGCACAGGAAAAGGAAAACCTTGAGAAGTTGCAGGACACCTGAGAAAAGAAAGAAACAAGAAAATTTTACAAAGGAGTAAAGGACATAAAAAAAGGATTCAATGCCAGAACTGGATTATGCAAAGGGAAGGAAAGAGATCTGATTGGGAAAAAGTTTAACATTCTCAAAAGGTGGAATCAGTACTTAAGTGAATTGTTGAACAAAAAAAAACACTGAAGAGAGTACCAACCTAAATAAACTTCTGAGTGAAGCACCAGAAGGAGCAGAAGAAGTAGAAGCTCCTATCATTATGTCAATGAAGAATCATAAGTCGCCAGGTCTTGACGAGATTTCTCCAGAGATGTTAAAACATGGTGGTAGTGATCTGTGGGAGGAAATTTATGACTTAATTTGGGAGATATAAATGGAAGAAAAAATGCCTGAAGATTGGACAAGAGCAGCCATATGTCCAATGCACAAGCAAGGAGACAAACTAGTAGTAGGAAAGACTGACAGATTTCACTGAAAAAATCATAGGAGAATATCAAGGAGGCTTCAGGCCTGGAAGAACAACAGTTGACCAGATATTCTTTTTAAGAGAGATAATGGAAAAATGTTATGAATTTAACATAGACAAGCACCTTCTCTTTGTGGACTTCAAACAGGCGAACGACAGTGGAGGCAGAAAGAAACTTTTGAAATTTATGATACATGTAGGCGCACCCAAGAAACTGGCCAGACTTACAAAAATGATGCTAATGAAGACTACCTGTCGGGTGAAACTTGCAAATTCGCTGTCCGAAGAATTTGAGGTGGATAATGGATAGAAACAGGGTGATCCTCAAAAATCTCCCCTTCTTTTTAATCTAGCTCTGGAAGTGGCTATTCGTTCTATTCGAACAAATCCATGAGGAACAATCTACAATCGTAAGACTCAACATTTGTCATATGCCGATGATGTTGCCATTATCTCTAAAATCCAAGCAGCATTATCAGGAACTTGCCAGGAATTCAAAGAAGCAGCAGCTAAACTGGGCCTTAGAGTTAATGGGAAGAAGAGGGTGTATATGAAAAATTCAAAAACGGAAAAGGAAGTGAATACAGAAATAGTTTTAAGGGATCACAACTTTAAGTCTGTAGACCAGTTCAAGTACCTTGAAAGCCTGGTCACATGAAATAATAAAATAGAGTGAAATAAAGGACAGGATAGCAGAAGGAAATAGATGCTATTTCCCATTGCAAAGAGACTTGAAATTCAGATCATTCTCTAAAAGAATCATATTCAAATTCTCATCTACAAAACCATAGTAAGGTAAGTGGTTATGTATGGGCGTGAAACTTGGACCTTAACCAAAAACTCAGAATGCACATTCAACTCTTGGGAGAGGAAAGTATTGAGAAGAATATGGGGTGGAATCTTTGAGAATGCAATTTGGAGAAGAAGAAAGAATGATGAGCTGCAGGAACTTTATGGTGAACCTGATATTGTGGCATTGATAAAAAGAGCCAGAATCAGGTGGTTAGGTCGTGTGAAAAGAATGCCAGGCCAAAGAATGCCAAAGAGGATGCTACATGAGAAGATGGATGACAAAAGAAGTAGAGGGCGCCCTCGGATCAGATGGCTGGAGGATGTGGAGGACCATCTGAGTGAGGCAGTTGAGCATTCAAAGATGGAGGGAAGTAGCACAAGACTGTGAAGATTGGTTGGCTGTAGTTAAGGAGGGAGGCCCAGGATCTTGCCATTATAATAATAATAATAAATACCTTATTGAATAACAAATACATGATTTTATCATTTATGAGAATTATACATTAATTTTGATTTGCATGTAATTAGAAAGCCTTTTTATCAATAAGAACAATGTACATGCATTTAAACAGAGAATCTTATATTTTATAAAGTTCATCTTTTTTTTTTTTTTTAATTTGTTGCACTTCTCAAGATTTTTACTATCTTGAATAGACAATTCCTGGGAAATTTATTTTAGCCTAACATTTTTTGTAAAACGTGTATTTTTAAATCATCAGTCCTACATTTTACAGAGAAATTGAGTGCAAGAAAGTTGCAGATAATTTCATTTATTTCAAAAGTATATATATTTTTGCTAATTTGTCTTCAATGGTTAAAAAAAATAAGGCAGTCACAAATATTGTGCTTTATTTTGTGATTGTTGGTGAAAACTGTACTTCGTTTATTTTCGTTATTCGTAGTTCCCAGTACGAATAACGAAGGCAGAATATTTACCCATTAAGGATGCTTCCTTTATGTTTAAAAAGTACATAATGATTATATGTTTATATGTTTTTTTATTTAAACTACAGGTACAGTAACCTCTTAGTTGCTTTAGTAGACAATGTTTTAGGATTCTTTGATTCCATAAAACCACTTTATAGGATCTATTTAAGCTTGATATGATGGAACAGTTTCTGATTGTCATTAATAAGACTAAGAAACGATTTACCTGTCATTTCATCAAGACACTAGTTGTTTATAGCATAGTAAAACACATTAAAATAATATTTGATTCGGAGAAAAGAAGTTTGTGATATTCATATCACTACTATATAAAGAAATTATTGTCATGATGTATACAAAGTTCAATATTTTAGGTTAACATCAAAATTAAAATGTGGAAAAGGTTGAGGTCTTGAAAACTTCATTTGAAAGTAAAGTTGATTTAAAAAAGTTAAATCTAAGAAAAAAAGGTGATTGTTTAACAAACACATAAAAACATGAATGAATTTCTGTTATTAAAACTACAAACAGCAAAAATATTGTTAAGAAAATATTAAAGAGGAAATTTTGGGAGTTGATTGAAATGGTCTCTTGGAACAAGAGGATCCTTTGGGCTCCTATTCCACGATTGATGACAGTAAAAGCTCCTCTTCATCCAAATACGTAATTGAGTATCACTGGGATCACACTATTCAACAAGTGCAATATTTTGGAAGATTAAACTTAGTTTTATGAAACTTGTGACACAGTAGTACATTGATACAGTTTGGTTGATGGCCTTAGCCAAGAAAAGCTCCCTCAACTCCAAACAAAACAATTCTTCTTGAAATCTGGAGCAAATATAAGACCAGATATCTTATTACTTCCACCAAATGAGTGAGAAATGAAAGAACATTCACTTGCCAAACAGCCACTTGTGGGATTGGGAGTACAATCAACATTGCTTAGTTTTAGTATTGACCAAAGATCCATAGTACCAAAATAAATTTTATTGGGTTGATGCAAAAATAATGCAGACTTTTAATATTCAATGAAAATATGCCACGACTTCACTTTAACTATGTATATTTCATTAAAATAATTTCCGTCAGAATCGATTCACTTTTTTCAATGTTCAAAAAGCTTTTTTATCTCAGCAGAAAATTTTTTTTTGTGAAATTAAAAAAAAAAATTATAAAAAAATTCACAATAAACTCATGAAAAGAATTTTCAATGTCATCCTGGTTTTGGAAATTTTTTTCATGCAAAATGTTGCCTAGCAGCCTGAAAAATTGAAAACTAATAAGAGAGAGGTAAGGTGAATGAGGTGGGCGTTGAAGAATTCCGTGGCCCAACTCGAGCAATCATCAATATTAGGAGCAGTTTGGACAGCGCTGTGTCCTAATTTAAATTTGTAAAAATTTACGATTCATAACCTTTAAAAATAGTGAACAAAATAGTTTTACTGATTAAATTCTTAGTGAAAGAGAGGTTATCAGATAAGATTTATTATGGTATACCATAATATATATATGGTACATAAGATACTACCATGTCTCTTACCACTATACTGAGTTAGAGTGGCTCTTCCCCTCCATTCGAAGACAATATTTCCGAGGTACATTCCTCTATCATATCATCAACAATCATCGTCCTTACGCCTACAACCTTCTCCAATTCAAATCCTCAGTCCACTCCCTTTCCATAAGATCTCGACCTTCCGACCTTTACATTCCTT